CGGCCTCAGGGAGGCCCAAGAGAGCCTCGTTCGAAATCATGTTCCCGGAAGCCTCTCTGGGAACATGATTTCCGGGTTCCCAGGACGCCCCCAGAGGCCCCGGACGCGCCGAAGATGGCTTGAAGACGGCCGACGACGCCGCCAAAACCCCCAAGAGCGCCTCCAGAGGCCCCTCCAAAGGGCCCCAGAAGCCGAAAATCATACATTTTCCTATGGTTTTTGAAGCATTCTTGCGCTCTCCCATGTTCCGCCTCCCCACGGTTCCGGACCGCGTCAGAGGCCCTTCGGATCGCTCCAAGACGGCCGAAGAGGCTCCCAAGAAAGCCCAGAGACGGCCCAGGAGGCTCCCCAGATAAAGTCAAGAGGGCCTCGAGAACTCCCCAAGAGAGCCCCAAGAGCGACCCAAGAGGGCACGAAGAGCGCGACGTTTCAAGGTCTCCGTCCGGCCTGAGAGGCTCCTAGGAAGCCCCCGGAGGCCATCAAGAGGCTCCCACGAAGCCCCGTGAGGCTCCGAAGAGGCCTGGCCCCCAAGACACTTCGGTAAATCGTATTTCCCAGATAGCTTTCCGGGAACATGATTCCTTGGGCTTCCGCCCACCGTCCCAACCATGTTTCCAATAGGCTTGCCGACAAGGCCAAAAGGCGTCCCTCGGTAAGCCCCCAGAGGCCCCCCTCTCAGAAAGCCGAACAAATCATGCTCCCGGAAAGCTTCCCGGGAACATGATTCTCTATCTCGGAGTAGGCCCGGGGGGGGGGCGGGCCACTGCCTGTTCCCCCCATCGGTGCCCACCTGGCGTTGGGGGGGGGGTCCAGAGCTCCCGAGGCGGCCCGAGCCCGCCCCGAAGCAGGACACGCCAGGCTAATGGAGGTCCCGAGAGGGCCCTAGACGGTCCCACGAGGCCCCGAAGACGCCCAAGATGCCCTCAAGACAGCCGACGAGGACTCCAACACGCTCCAGGACGGACTCAAGAGGCTCCCCAAGAGGGCCTTGGAAGGCAAGATTCACTCGTTTTCCGAGTGTTTTGAATTTTGGCGTTCTCGCTTTTCCCGCTTTCCAGCGCTTCCTCACGGCCTCGGAGGCCCTTCAGATCGCTCCAAGAAGGCCCACGAGGCCCCGAAGAGGGCCCCAAGACGGCGATGCTCCCCAGACAACCCAAGTGTGCCTCAAGAGCGCGCCAAGAGAAGGCCCAGGGGCCCGCCCCGAAGCAGGCCACGACAGGCTAATGGGGGTCCCGAGAGGGCCCTAGACGGTCCCACGAGGCCCCGAAGACGTTCAAGCTGCTGCCCTCAAGACGGCCGACGAGGAGTCCAACACGCTCCAGGACGGACTCAAGAGGCTCCCCAAGAGGGCCCTGGGAGGCAAGATTCACGAATTTTCTTATGGTTTTTGAAGGATTTTGGCGTTCTCGTTTTGCCCGCTTCCCAGCGCTCCCTCACGGCCTCGCTCGGAGGCCCTTCAGATCACTCCAAGAAGGCCCACGAGGCCCCGAAGAGGGCCCCAAGACGGCCCAGGAGGCTCCCCAGACTACCCAACTGTGCCCCAAGAGCTCCCCAAGAGAGGGCCCAGAGGAGGACCGCTAGCCGATATTTCGATGTCTCTGGCCCTAGAGGCCGCCTGTAGCCCCCCGGAGGCCACCAAGAGGCTCCCACGAAGTCCCGTGAGGCGCCCAAGAGGCCCCCAGGAAGCCCCAACAAACCCCCAAGGACCTCCCAGGGAACGCCCAAGAGGCCCCCCAACACATCCCAAGAAATCATGTCCCCAGAAAATCTTCTGGGGACATGGTTCATCATGGGCCCGAGAGTTCCCGGAGGCCCCCAAGGGGCCCCCAGGGAACGCCCAAGAGCCCCCCCAGCACACCCTAACAAACCATGTCCCAAGAAAGCCTTCCGGGGACACGGTTCATCATGGGCCCGCGAGTCTCCGGAGGTTTCGAAGTACCATCATGCTACAGGAGAGCTGTCTGGGAAGCTGACTGGGAACATGACTGATCGCTTTCTCGCGGCCCTCCGCAGATCGTTTCGCACACGGTTGCCCCAAGTGCCCTCTTGAACCGACGACGACGACGACGATGACGACGACGACGACGACGACGACGACGAAACGACGACGACGACGACGACGACGACGACGACGACGACGACGACGACGACGACGACGACGACGACGGCGACGACGGCGACGACGACGGCGCGCCCCAATAGGCGACGACGACATTACGACGACGACGACGACGACGACGACGACGACGACGACGACGACGACGGTACGCCCCAACATGCTCCCCAAGACGCTCCCAAACCCATGCTCCCAGAAGGCCTTCTGGGAACCCGATTCATACGGCCTCCGCCCCCCTACACAACCATTTTCCTCGAAGGCTTTTCGGAATGCAGATTGGCATGCGTGGACTGTGGTCCACTACTTCAGTGGAGCAGTGAATTCGTCAAGGCCTGGGGCCTGCTAGAATCTGAGCGCGCGCGAAGCGCGCGCGCGATGGTTCTACATCCCCAGGCCGAAAGTGTTTTCCTCTTGGACTAAGAATATGAGAACACCCATGGGTCCAATTGGATCCCTTTTCGGGTGTGGGAGAGTTTCGTTGATCCTATTTCTGTGCTGCGCGGATCCAATTTCCTTACTGTGAAAAAAACGATGGATCCATTGATTGCCCGGAAATACATATGTAATAATAATAATAATAATAATAATAAACATCCGGGACCCAGGGGACATGGGATCCGCGGAGCACCGCAAGTGAAGCATCATGCTATCCACGGAGCCGTGGATATGCATACCCATGCTATGATTATACGGGGGAGGGCGGTCTTCCCAGGATGACGAGGGGACGGATGAGGGAAGAGGCAAGAGGATGTGGGAGGAGAACAGAGGGGACGCAGGGGGGGGAGAGAGGATCAATAATCAGGGGAAAAAGCGGGGGAGGAGGAAGGACAAGGAAAAGGAGGAGGAGGAGATCGAGGATGAGGGAGGAGGGAGAAGAGAGGAGGGAGGCAGACGGACGAAGGAGGAAGGAGGAGGAGGGAGGAGGTGGGAGGAGGAGGGGGGAAGTGGGAGGAGGAGGAGGAGGAGGAGAGGAAGGGCTGAGGGAGGGCGAGGACACACAAGCAAAGTGTCCAAGTCGGAAGCTCGAGCGCCGCAGCGGGCCCGGCCACCTCCCTTCACTTCTCCCATAACAGGTGGCTGCTCGAACGCCACCCCGGGCCCTGCCATTTCCCGAAAGTCTTCCCATGTGCTCGAACGCCACAGCGGGCCCAGCCAACTCCCGCACCTCCAACCATAACGTATCTACCCAACCTCGAAGAGAGGGCTACATGTATCCGCTCACCTGAACGGCGCGTCGCTTCCGACATGTGGGGTTCAAAAGGAATTTTTCTCGGCCTGCGGAAGTGGGATTTCGAACTGCGCCTCCCCCTACGTAAGGGGTGCTAAATCGTAAGGGGTGCGAAATCCTGCAGAGGGATTTCGAACTGCGTCTCCCCCGTTACGTAAGGGGTGTTAAATCGGAAGGGGTGCGAAATCCTGCATCCCCAGGCCGAAAGTTTTTTCCCCTTGGATGAAAAATATGAGAACACCCATGGATCCAATTGGATCCCTTTGTTTTCGGGTGTGGGAGAGTTTCGTGGATCCTATTTCTGCGCTGCGCGGATCCAGTTTCCTGAACGTGAAAAAACGATGGATCCATTTATTTCCCGGAAATACATATATACTACGATTCAGCAGTAACTAACATCCGGGACCCAGGGGTAATGGGATCCGCGGAACACCGCAAGTGAAACATCATGCTATCCACGGAGCTGTGGATATGCATACCCATGCTATGATTATACGGGGGAGGGCTGTCTTCCCAGGATGACGAGGGGACGGATGAGGGAAGAGGCAAGAGGAGGCGGGAGGAGAACAGAGGGGACGCAGGGGGGGAGAGAGGATAAATAGTCAGGCGAAAAAAACGGGGGAGGAGGAAGGACGAGGAGAAGGAGGATGAGGGAGAGAAAGGAGGGAGAAGAGAGGAGGGAGGCAGACGGACGAAGAGGGGGAAGGAGGAGGAGGGAGGAGGTGGGAGGAGGAGCGGAGAAATGAGGGGGAGGAGGAGGAGGAGAGGAAGGGATGAGGGAGGGCGAGGACACACAAGCAAACTGTCGAAGTCGGAAGCTCGAGCGCCACAGCGGGCCCAGCCACCTCCCTACACTTCTCCCATAACATGTGGTTGCTCGAGCGCCACCCCGGGCCTGGTCATTTCCCGAAAGTCCTCCCATTTGCTCGAACGCCACAGCGGGCCCGGCCAACACCCGCACCTCCAACCATAACGTATCGACCCAACCTCGAAGAGAGCGCTACATGTATCCGCTCACCTGAACGGCGCGTCGCTTCCGACATATGGGGCTCAAGGGTTTTTTCCGGCCTGCGGAAGTAGTGTGTGTGTATGTATGTATGTGTATATATATTTGTATATATATATATATATATATATATATGGGGAGTGGGGGAACACGATCATCCAGAACATATGGAAAAGATTAGGAATTTTGCCATGTGCGTCTATTTCTTTGTGTGTCCATGGGCCCCTGCTCGACATGCCCCATGATCTCCCTCCGCCGCCGCATCGGCCCGGGGATTCCCGGCGAAGGTCGGTCTGCCAGGCTTCGCCCCGCGCCAGCCCGCCAGAGCTTGCTGCACGCAAGAGTGGCCCCTGGCCAGAGTGACCTTTGGTAGTGCCCCCCCAGATCATCAGCGCGAAACATATTCCCATCCCTATCCACTATCCCTATGAATGACATCGCCTCATCCCGATGCCGATCTTAGGGGTTCCCCGTCGGTTACTGAGGGCGCAACCCTGTGATCGGCATCGCCTTTCGGCTTGTCGATCTCAGGGATAAGAATATGCTCGAGGCTGGTTTGACCGAGAGCTGGGCGCCAGAGACCACCCTTGCCCAGGGCCACTCGCTGCGCGTAGCCGACGAAACCGCCCCGCGCGCCACCGCCGCCAGCCATGTTCCAGATCGCCCGCTCCGTGCGCCTGCTCCCGGCCGCGGCCCGCGCCACCAGGACGGAGGCCACGAGCGTCCTGGCCTGCCGCTTCTTCTCCTCCCCGGCGCTCCAGGCGAACAAGACGACCAAGTCATCTTCAGGCCTCGAGGAGAGAAACAGAGCATCAGCAGCCTGCTCCGGGCGAGCCCCCACCCGAGGGCGCGGGGCGGCGTCCCCAGGACCGCGTGTTCATACTCGCCGGCGGTAGCGGGCGTTACCGCGGGGAGGGGGGGGAGGGGGGCGTGGGGCCGGTAACGTGGTCAGGCTTCGCGCTGGCGCCGTCTGGAAAGGTCCAGGAAGATCCAGGGAGGCCCCGGAGGCCAGCACGAATCGTGGCGTCACCAGGTGGGGTGGGGGGGGGCGGCAGGGCCGGTAAAGCCCGCTGTCGCGAAAAATTGAAAGCGCTTTCCAGGGACCACCGGCACACTCTAGGCCTGGCGGCCGCGGTGTGGTGCCGTCGCCATTCGTCGAAGGCGCGTGGCGGTGTACCCCAGGGAGCACTCTTTGGGCATGACGGCCGCGGTGTGCAGGGTGTGCGAGGCGGATCGGGAGCCTTGCTCTAACCTGCCGATTGGGTGTGCGAGACCTCGCAGCCCTAACCTGCCGATTGGGAACAAGGGCACGCGAGCAAGAAGAGCCACCGGTTTGGGCGGACCTTTCGGGTTCGCGCGCCAGGATGCCCACGGCGGCGCCTCCCCTGGCGCGCGAGAGTCGCGCCAGGGGAGAAGGTTCAGCGCCGATCGGGCGGGGATAGGACAGGGTTAAGCAGTTTCAAAGCGTTCCAGAGCGCTCTGGGATGGCCGCGGCGCCCGATACATCCTCGATTCCCCGACTTCTCCTGTTCAGATGTGGTGCCTGTCTTGGCCTGATCTTCAGGTCCCGACCCAACAGATCCGCGCGGACCTCCGGAATTCAACGAGCGATCGGAGGAGGAAAACGATACAGATCCACCGCCTTCTCCCTCTCACCCCCTCCTCTGGGAAGAAAACATTCAGAGGGGCAGGGGGGGGGACGGGGAAAAGGAGTATAAACGCTCGATTCCCAAGCGAGGGAGCCACGCGAGGAGGCTTGTCGGCTTTCCTGGCCCAGTTTAGGGCATAGGTGGAAAATCAGTCTACCATCACCAGGTGGCGTGAAGCATGATCAGAACGGAGACCTTCGAAAACGCAGCACCCCGCAATTGCGGATAGAGTGACGGGGCGGGCGCGGGGTGGGTCGCGGGCGCGTCGCAGGCGGGTCACGGGCGAGGTCGACGGCAACGCAACAATACCACAAGCAAAATCAGTTGGTCGGGTTGCCACTTTTGCCACGCCGCCAGGGACAATACATCGATTGTTCCGCCCCCTCTCATCTGGCTGTCTTTAGGGCGGGTTTTAGTTGAGTTAGTTGAGCCCCCCCCCGTGGTGATGGTCATGGTGATGGTGATGATGGTGGCTATCGTAGTGATGATGTCGATGCGGATCATCGTAAAGGTCTTTCAAGATGGTGATGATGATGGTGATGGTGATAGTGAGGATGCAATGATGATCATGACGATGATGTTGATGATGATGATGATGATGATGCTGATGATGATGATGATGATGATGATGATGGTGGAGCTGATGATGATGCTGATGATCCTTCGACGAACGACAATCACATTCATCATCATCATCATCATCATCATCATCATCATCATCATCATCATCATCATCATCATCAACGTCCGTAGCACTTGGGTCAAGGCCATGTCCTCCAGCGCGCCCGCGTCCCCGTGCCCCTCGAGCCGCGCAGCCTCGTCGAGCCGCGCGGCCTCGTCCAGGCGCGCGGCCCCATCGAGCAGCCCTGCGGCCCCATCGAGCCCTGCGGCCCCATCGAGCCATGCGGCCTCGGCGAGTGCGGCCTCGTCGAAAGCGGCAGCCCCATCGAGCACTGCGGCCTCGGCGAGTGCGGCCTCGTCGAAAGCGGCCCCCTCGAGCCCTCAGGCCTCGTCGAGCCCTGCGGCCCCATCGAGCCCTGCGGCCTCGTCGAAAGCGGCCCCCTCGAGCCCTGCGGCCTGTTCCTCGTCGAGGGCCTCATCGAGAGCGGCCCCGTCGAGCCGCGGTTGCAACAGCTCGGGCGCCGACGCTGACGGAGCGTCCGACGCCGACGATTCCGACGGAGTTGCCGACGCCGACGGAGTTGCCGACGCCGACGGAGTTGCCGAGGCCGACGGCTCCAAGAGCGGCTCCGACAGCGACTCCAACAGCGGCTCCGACAGCGGCTCCGACGAGGACCCGGGCCCCAGCGCCGAGTCAGCCGCGGCTGCGAAGACCGCCCCGAGCAAAGTAGTCGAGAAGGTCGACATTGTTTCCATGACCCTGGAGGAGCACGTCGCCAGTCACAACTACCCAAAGCACGTCACGACGCGCGGCGCTTGCAAGTTTTGGAAAAAACAAAGAAAAGTGGAGCGCCTCTCTGTCTGCGACGAATCCAGTCACCCTGAAGCCTGAAACTTGGATAGGCTGCGTAGGTGGTAGATATGCAATATGTTTGTTTTGCTCGGCGTTCAAGGGCCCTCGTTGCCAATCCACCATTGGCCAAGGCGCCGGAAGTTTCGGCCGTCGCCAGAACCTCGCGCGGCACGCACAGGGCGAGGAGCAGCAGGCAGCAGAGGCGGCGTGGAAAGAGCGGGTTCGAGCGGAAGGCGCACAACGGCAGGTTCGAGTGGAAGGCCCCACAACGGCTGCAACAGCTGCAACAGCCGCGGCGCAGGCGCCCGTCGTCGTCCACGCCGCCGACCAGCGCGTTGGCGGCCGCGCAGCGGTCGCCGCCCGTGCACTCTAGGAGACGCCCAGTTCCTTCAGAAGTTTCGATGTCTGGCGGGGTGCGCTCCGCGGGCATGACCGCGCAGCTTTGGAATCTTTTCAGCAGCGCCGAAAGGTGGTGGCCACATTGGCTCAGTGCGAGAAGATCGTGGCGCAGGGGATTCTCAAAGAGGGCGCTGTTTTTCGTTTGGCTGCGGACGGCCTCGACCGCACGCACCAAGTCGAGATTGGCGCGGCGTTGTGGTCGATCCCAAAGGCTCTGGACTTTCTCCCCGCGCACGGTCTCAAGGCGGGCTGGCTGGAGCAGCTGGGCCCCCAAGGGCCCTGGATTGCGGAGCGGGTGATCGGGATGCGGGAGCTCCCGCGGGCCATGGGCGGCGACGGCAAGGCTTCCATGCTGGAAGAGTGCGTCCGTCGCGCGTGCCAGACGGCGGGCGGGGAACTGGGCGTGGACTTGCACAAGCACGTGCGAGGGGAGATGCGGGCGTGGTGCAGCGATGGGGCTGATCTATCTGTTCCCCTGCTCGCAACGCGCGCGTTCCCTGGGCCGGCATTCTACGCGTGGGACGAGGCGCATTCGGCCTAGAAGCTCCTGGCCAACTCCATGAAAGAGGACAGCGAGATCACGATGACGGACCAGCTGCTGGTCACGGGTAAGAAGCCGCCGAGCCTGCCCAAGTTCCTGACCAACTCCACCGCGCGCTGCAACAAAGTGGGCGTGCAACAGCTGGCAGACGACGCCGCGTTCGTCAAAAACTTCGGATGGGCCCCCCAGCGTTTCAACAGTCGGGCGAGGCCCTGGGCACGGGAGAGCCGGCGTTGGAGAGTTATCTTCCATGCGCTCGGAGAGGAGTCCCAGGGGAGTGACCAAGATCGGCGCATTCTCGCCCGATCTTTCCTGGAAGGGCTCGGGGGCGAGAACAGTTCGCGCCTGCTCCTGGGGGCGTTGTTGGCGGACTTGTGCGCGGAGCACTACTCCTCGGTCTCCACCGGAGACGAGAGCAACCCCGACGCTGCAAGCGTTCAAGCTAGGGCCAACGATTTCATCTCAAGGCTGGACACGCTGTTCGTCCAGGGGGCGGTTGTGGGCATGCTCTCCACTTTCACGGGCGAGGCCCCGCGGTTTTCGCGGCGCACGCCGCGCTGCCCGTGCGGCAACGGCGCCCAGGAGGTGGGCCTCGGCGATTGGCGCACGGAGGGCCCAGCCCGCGATGCCCTCAATGCGGCTATTCGACGGGCGCAGAAGATCGTTGCCAACGTGAAGGAGAACATGAAGCTGCATCGGCCAGAGCACTCATGGTTGCACGAATTTACTGCGTTTCGACTGCCTTTCCCCCTTGTCTGCGACAGACGCGGGCGCAACGGAGCGCGCGACAGAAGCTGGGGCCTGCTTGAAGCGCATCTGCCGCGAGGCAAACCTTCTGGAGCAGCGGGCAGCCCCCCAGCTGCGGCAAATTTTGAGGCGCGCCGAGGAGCATCACCGAGGCGGGGGCACCACGCGGCAGGCCTGGGGCCGCGCTGCTGCGCACTGGCCTGAGCTCGCCATCGGCCGCAGTCTCGTGGAGCTCTTCCTGGTCTGGAGCACGGGCAACGTGGGGCGGCGATTCCGCCATTTCTCTGAGGCGCAGTGCCCCGCGAGGGCTCGAATCTTGGACGTTACCGTTGAGGAGTGCACGCTCGTGGACGAAGCGCCCCCCGGCAAGTTTTTGCGCGCGTGGCTGGGCCAGCAGGAGCGGGGCAAGAGCTCTGCCAGCGCGCGCCGGCACAGACAAGTGCTCAAGTTGCATGGGCGCCTCCAGGGGAAGATCGCAACGACGTCGAGGAGGGCCGAGAGGCGCGACAAGGGAACCACCAGAGAGCCTCGGCCAGAGCGTCGGACAGAGGTGGGCTTCGGCCGCAAGAGAGCAGCTGCCGTCGACGCCATGGCGGCCGCTTCCCCGAGCAAGCGCGCTCGCCTTCTCGCGGAGGCCGGCCCAGATCTCGCTGCGGCGGCGCAGGATGCGGCCCAGGCGAGCGCGGCAGATCCAGTCCGCCCGGCTGCATCGGTCGCGGCCGCCGTTGCCGAGGTGCGAGAGCGCAATCTCGCAGGGGCGAAGGCCGCCGCCGAGGCCAGGAGTGCGCGGGAGAAGAAAGTCTTGCGCAGTGCCGGGCCAGGACCCGTCGGCCGCGACGCCTACATGGCCCCCGCGCGCCCCGCCCCCCTGGCCTCATGCTGGTTCGCAGGGGGGAGGCGGCAGCGCATCGCAGGGCGCAGCGCTTGCGCTTCCAGCTGGTTTACGATCCCGTGAACTTCCTGAGACGCCTGGCCAAGC